GATGATACAATTAAAACAAACAAAGGATTCCTTCGTAGTGATATAGCAAAAATTAAAACTGACACAGACAACGAATATAATACCAAAATACAATCACTTAATACAGTTTTGGAAGAGATTGAAAAAACGTTGACGCCTCTACGTTCTGATATAAATCAAATCCAAACTCAATTACACCACCTGTATAATGAAGATCTAAAAAAATTACGTGATGAGCTTTTGATTAAAATTACTGATATTACAAATTTAACGTCAAAAAATATTGAGCAGCTTAACAATCAAATTAATATAGTTCCAAATGACGTAATTGATGATGTAAAAAAAGAGGTGGGATTATTACAAAAAAATCTATATGGCATTAATCAAATTACAAAAACCAATGAAAATGAACTAAAAGTATTGCAAAATACTTTACAAAGCACCAATCAAATAACGAAAACCAATGAAAAGGACTTATTATTACTACGTGAAACTGCAAATGTTCAATTTTCAGAAATTGACTTGAATATCAACGATTTACAATCAAGAATTTCAAAACTAACTGCAACACCTTAATTTACATCAGTTATCATGTCAAGGGAAAAGATTCGAAGCGAGTTGCTTCGACTTGCACGCAAAAACTATTCTAGACGTCGTACAATTATTAAGAATTTGGATGATTTATGGCAAATGGATTTGGCTGAAATGCGTTTTAGGCGTACCAAAATAAAAATTTTAAAATGAAATGATCTGTAATTAATAATAATATTAAAATTAATTGAGTATACTCGTTTGTTTTAATACATTCTCACTAATAATTTTTTTAAAGTATATTTCACCTATAACCCCCGTATATGTGATTATTTTGATTCTATTGAATTTTGTTATATATTAATTAACATTCGTGCTACTATGAAACATTATTTTTGCTACTTATTTATGAAAGCCTATTACGAAACATCGCAAATGCAGCATTTAAAATTTTATCTTTAACATTATCTTTAAACCACTCTGTTATTTCAGGTGATTTATCAATAACATTAAAATATTTGAGATCTAAAATCTCATTATCTTTAGATTTTTTGATAATTTCGCCGCAAAATGTAGTATTAACTTTAAGTGCTTGATGTTGTTTCAAAAATTATTAATTTTATTTTTAAATGAATCTATTAATAGATTATTTAAACCAATTGCCGAACCTCTACGAAACATTCAAAAGTTTTCCCAAAATATTATTAAGAAGGAAGAACACATTGAACCGAAAACAGAACTGACAAATCAGGATTTCTCTGCATTCACTCTGAAAAGCGTCTCATCGCCACACCAAAAATAAAAAAACAATCCCATAGAAAGCATAGCTGAACATGATGAAGGTAGTACCCGTAAAGAATTTAGCGAAGGTGATGAATCTGAACATTCTGAAAAACGGTTGGCTCCTGAATTTTAATATATTGAACAATATCCACCAATGAGTCAGACATGTGTTTTAGGACGTTTGAAATAGCTAAGAAGGCTCTTGATATATGGACGAAGAATACTACTCTAACATTTGAAAATGTTCACATACCTAATCCTAGCGCATATATTGCGATTTCCGTTACAATATCATTTTTTTTTTTTTTCGTTTAATTGTCAAGGAAATCATGAATGTAAATTTAAGTCACTGAGAGACATACAGATGACGATTCACAGAATCGCTTATCCCACCTCCCACGTGACCTAGATTAAATTAGATTAGGAGTTGGACGTTATTTGTCCTTATCCACCGCGACCTTTTCAGATCTATTGTGGGACTCCGTTTGTTTTAGAGTATGTCGTCTAGCCTGGTCTTTTTTTATTAGACTTAGTAGCTTTGACAGGGGCTTCCGCATGTAGTTACATGCAATTGGCTTTTCTTCGCCCAATGTTAGAAACCTCATTCCAACCAAGCCTTCACATTGGCACAGGACGTGGAATGATGTTTCCTCTTCTTCTTCACAGAATCTACACAAAGTTGCTTCTTCTGCTGGATGTATGACACTTATGTGCCTTTTGAGGCGACAGTGTCCAGTAAGAAGGTCTACTGTTATCCTAACGATTTGACGTGACCTAACAACCATCCGACATTTTTAATTCAATTTAACTATTGGATCTCATCGAAATTAATTATATGTCAATAGAAAATTATATATAAAGTTATTTATTACTTTAAATAGTTGACTTGGAATCGAACCGCGACATACAGCGACACATTTAATAATTTAAAAAAAATAATAGCGTTAGACTACAGTCTGCTTCGAGAGATCCCTTAGAGTGATAACGGCGCGCAAGAAAACAAAGCTCTAACGTATAAAATTACATTTTATATTTTTCAAATAATAATGGAAATCGTATTATCTTATCACTAAAAGCGAGTCTATTTTCCTCAAATCTGGGGGGAACGATCCTCCATCACTAAATTTGACAGATCCTTTAGCCCGGCAGTTTTAAAACAAGCCCCATGTTAAATCCCATAAGAAATCGTGAGGTTCATTCTGCTATTTTTTACGGGGGCGTCACGCGTCGAGAATCGAAGTCTGGCTTATCAGTAAATATGATAACGTTAGCTCGCGGTTGGATAACGTCGGTAATCCCAGATGGCGGCAATCGTTGATGTAAACAATGAAAAATTATAGAAAATATCAAACTAGCATAATATTGACATCATCTTTTCTTTATCCTTAATAAAAAAAACAATGTACACATACCAGATAAAGTCCTGTTGTTATGTTATGTTGCTATAGAGAGGATGTCAAACAGCCGATTGTGTAGAGGAACTCTCCTAGGGTGTATCCTTCACACATCAAGAAATAGTATCTGTTGGTTGATAAAGCATTTATGAGTAAAAACTCTGTATGTATACAATTATCTAATCTTAGTGTTTACGATGTAAAAAAAAAGAGTGCAAATGTTAGTTTAATAAAACGCAAATATTAAAATTACTAGACATATATTTAAAGTTCAATATTTTACACTCAAAATCGGAATTGTAGAAAAGAAAAAAAACAAAATTTAGCAAATTTTGTTTTTAAAAATTACTTAACGGTACGCAAACCTTGAAAACATGGTAAATAGTAATGACTTTTATACTTAAAACCAAAAACTTATAATTATTTTCAAAAATAAAATAATTATGACTGTTTTAGAGGAAAAGTTAAAAACATTTTATCAAATCTTTGAGACTTATTTTACACAAGAAGAGTATTTTATTCCATTTAATTATTTAGATTTATTTTACAACCAAAATCAGAATTCTAGACTCGTTACATAGGATATACTCAAATACAAAATTTAGACACTAAAAATTAATATTTTACAACCAAAATCGGAATTGAAGAAAAGGTACATATGATGTATTCAAAAAAAATATCAAAATTTAACAAATTTTGATATTTTAAAAATTACTTAACGGTATATTCAAATATAAAATTTTACAAAAAAAACGCAAACCTTGAAAACATGGTAAATAGTTATGACTTTTATACTTAAAACCAAAAATCAATATTTTACAACCAAAATCGAAATTGTAGAAAAGTACATATTATGTATTCAAAATTTAACAAATTTTTGATATTTTAAAAATTACTTAAAGGTATATTCAAATATAAAATTTCACAAAAACTCATAATATTTTCAAAAATACCTGTTTTAGAGAAAAATTTAGAAACATTTTATCATTTCTTTTACGCAGCAAGCGTACTTTATTTTGTAGCAGTTACAGTTATTATAACGGAAAATATGACTAATATAAAAAAAATAGCAAAAACGCGTATACAAGACATATTTCCAAATTATGTGAGATGTTTATTACGGATACCTGAACATATCATCTACCATTTACAACACCGTAATTAATACAGTTACACTTTGTAAATAAAGAGACAGATTCTTCGTTACAGCAAAAGGTCGAAAATTGTTTTCAGGTGTAGCAATAATTTTTCTGTGAAGCCTCTTCTTCGGTATTCCGCCAAAGTATAAATATAATCCATATAATAAAACGAATGAGGTCGGTATGTTGTTGTGGTATAAAATATAGCATGACACCTGTTTCTGTCTATACCACTGATTTATAAACGCATTAACACCGCCATTAAAATTTCTTATTTTTTATTTACTGCCCCAAAATATTTAATTTCTTCCATTTTTTCGGAGCTAGAGTTGAAGCAGAGCTACTTATCGGCCAGTCCCAACCACAAAAAACATTACATGAAGCTTAGTAATTAAAAATAGGGTCCAAACTCTTAGGGCAAAAATTCGCGCACTGTTGGTATTAAAATAGTTATTGAAATTGTATATGGAAAGAGTCCATAAACTGTAGATCACAGAGAACACAGTCATAAATAGTAGGTATTATATTTGTTTCGGTATACCCACTTAAAAAATATTCGTATGCCGTAGCAAAAAACATTACATGAAGCTTAGTAATTAAAAATAGGGTCCAAACTCTTAGGGCAAAAATTCGCGCACTGCTGGTATTAAAATAGTTATTGAAATTGTATGTGGAAAGAGTCCATAAACTGGAGATTACAGAGAACACAGTCATAAATAGTAGGTATTATATTTGTTTCGGTATACCCACTTAAAAAATATTCGTATGCCGTAGCGTATGTATCGTCATTACAATAGAAATTGTAAGCGTAATGTCTAGTCCCCATGCATCCGGAATTGCGAAATTCCGAAATGCGGAAACTTTCCTATTGGCTGTGGCGTTTGAATATTAATGGCGGGAAGTATTCGTACGAATGTTTTAAGAAAATTGCGATGCCGCAAAATGTTGAAATATTTTAAGATTTTGCGAATTTCGTGTCGCCACCTTGATGTTATGCTAACCTCAAAATTTAGCGTTTATTTCTTTTTTAATATTATTAGTTCTAGTTCATTAGTTGTTAGTAGTTATTAGTTATTAATTAGTAGTTAATTAATTGGTTCCTGTTCTTTGTGCCCCACTGCCCCATTTAAAAGTGAACATGAGTTACTTTGAACTTATTGAAGAGAATGAAGAGATGCCAGATAATGAAGGAGATTCGCAGATTGACTTCGAGTCTGAAGTAGTGCCAGAGCAGTAAGTTAGTTAAAAAAACATATTTTAAGATAACTGAAAATTCCAATTTTAGATCAGATGTAGTCTATGAGGTGGAAGAACTTTTGGCCACATTTGTCCAACAGCGACCACCTCTTTGGGACTCTAGATTGCCTTTGTCAAGGAGGTCAAAGACTGTGAGAGATGGTCTATGGCTTGAGATCTTTAAAGAATTCAGTGGTGAGTGCTTAGAATTCGAATTTCATATCTGTTTACTAATTTAATATTAATCTGTTTTCATAGAACAATTTTCAATTGAATTTTTGCAAAGAAAGTGGAGGAACATGAGAGACACTTTTATAAAAGTGAAAGGGGAAGTCGAATCGTATATTCCGAGCGGAAGTGCTACAAAAAAAAGAAAAAAGGTATGGAAGTACTATGAGATAATGTGTTTTTTAAAAGACAGCATTATACCCAGAAAGTAAGTGTGAACAAGATTAGGAAACTTGACTATATTTTAATTAAATTGTTTTCATTATAGAACATCATATAGTGGTTTTGAGGTCTTGAGCCCTACAGCTTTGAAAAATTGCTCTTCACCTAGTACAAGTGTAGAGAAAACAGGGAATTCAGAACCTGCAGCTGAGTCGGACAGAAGGAAGGCGACAGGTATATTACATTTTTATAGTTTTAACTTTTATAATTATTAAGCATTTTATATTTTAGGCAAAAAAAATGTAGATCAAGCCATATTAAGCATGATCGATTCAATACCTGCAAATAAACCGTGCCCGGCCCAACCATTACAAACTGTTAATCCAATTTGTTTGAGGATTTCAGACCTGTTGGACAAAATGTCGCAAAGGGAAAAAACTTTATTGGAAATAAAGTTATTGTCCCAGGCATATGAGGGGTCCAAGGAATTTTTGTGAACATTTAAACCTTTTACTAAAAAACATTGATTTTAAATTAATATATATTAACCATTTATTATTGAGTTTTAATTTACCAGAAACCCATTAAGCGGCTGTTACATGGTAAGTTACATAAACATTCACACGTTTAGAAAAATGATCCACAATTAAGACTAGATAATTGTTAAATATTTGTCAAATCATTCTGATAATGAAATCAAATCACAAATAAAACACTTCAGGCTTCCTTATTTTATTGAATTTGTTGTTAGTTACATCATGAGATTTCACTGTCAGGATGACAAAACGAACCACATAAAATAGAGAAACCAAGTAGTTTTATTAATTTTATATTTTTATGAATGTTCTCTTCTTGGTGAACCACCTTTTTGACAAATGCATACTTTCACAATTATCCGATAAACATTTTTTAAACATAAATAAAAAACAAAAATGTTGGTAATAGGCATATATTTATTAACATTTTATAGATATTCACATCACATCAGTTGTCATGTGTGAGGTTATTAATGTCAAATATGTTCTTCACAAAACATGTGTTACATCACTTTGATAAAATCATTAAATTTATTTATCCCATTGGAATGGCACTGATCCATCAAACATAAAATATGATGCTATCTCATTTCGAATCACACTGGCATTTTTTTTATAAGTGTTTGTACTTGTACGACCTAAACCTCGTAATGAATGACTTTCCACTCTCCATTCTCCTTCAATTACATGTCCAGTCTCATCTTCTGTATCAACAAAATTGACTGGACAATATAGGTTTGCTCTATTTCTTTTCATCATAAGCCAATTATGTAAACACACTATTGACTTCGTAATTTTTTCGATGGTATCAAGACTTGCCAGAATTGGTTTCCGGATAATCCTCCATCTGGCTGCAAGAATACCAAAAGCATTTTCTATAACCCTTCTACCTCTGCTTAGCCTAAAAAGGATTATTTAGCAAATGGAAAAAAATTGTTTAATAATTTTATACCTATAATTAAATATCCTTTTCTCTTGGGACAAAAAGTGTCCTGGATAAGGGCGCATCAAATTTTCCATCAGTGGAAATGCCTCATCTCCTACTATAAAATATGGAAAGTCTGCTCCTCCATATTCAATAGCAGAAGGTGGTGGTAACTGTAGGTTTTTCGTTATCAGAGCATTTCCAAATTTGGATAGACGAAAAACCCCTCCATCACTTTGCCGACCTTGTGCTCCTATATCAACTACAATAAATTGGTAATTTGCATCACATAAGGCCATTAAAATGATGCTGTGTGTGTGCTTATAATTAAAAAATTGAGAACCGGCATTGGGGGGTGCCTAAAAAATAGGTTAATGTTATATCAAAAGTTATATTAAAAGTAAGAATGTATTATCCATACCTGAATTATTATATGTTTCCCATCTAATGCTCCAATACAATGTGGCAGATGCCACTGTTTTTCAAAACCATCAGATATCTGCAACCATATATCTTCTGATGGAATTTTCAAAACATCTTTTTGGAGTGAATTCCAGAGTACATCACAAGTCTCGTTTATTATTTTAGATACTGTATTTTTTCCTAACCTAAACGCATAGGACATTGATACCATACTATCCCCACTTGCTAAATATCTGGATTAATAATAAAATGTTAGCATACAGTGACTAATGGCAATAAATGAGCAAACATACCTCAATGTTAGGGCCAGCCTTTCTCCTGCAGATATTGGTTCACGAACACAGTGCTGTTTTGTAATGTATGGTGAAACAATACCCAACAGTTCATCAAATTGCTGTGAAGACATCCTAAAATAATTGAAATGTTTGTCCTTGTCCCCAAGTCGCATTTCTTGAATTAAGTTATGGTAATCGCCTTGTTGCCGACGTTTTTTGAAGATTTCTCTTACCCACACGCTTCGTTGAGGTCTTCTAAGGTGACGATTGTAATATAACAAAATCAATAATTTCTTTTTCAGCATATTATTGCAAAAATTATCTTGACATAAACAAAGATCCATTTTTACTTTGAGGTTAAAATGTCAAACGTCAAATCTCATCAAATGTCAGTCAATGCCACAAATGTCATTTTGTACCCAACGTGAATTTAGTTATAAAAATGTAATTCCCCACAAATTACGAAACATTGCCATACGTTTTTCGGATGCATGGGGACGTAACAATTTTCCGTACGAATATTTTTTGCGAATCGCATTTCTGATTTCGCAATTCGTGCGCATGGGGACTAACCTTAAAACAGCACATCTTCAACAAACACTTGTACTTGGAGAACATCATCATCAGAAAATCCTTCGTTTAAATATTGTTCATAAATAATTAGATGATCCGAAATCTGAATCGTTATAATCACTTTATTGTCTACTCGATACGGTCGGGTAATACAAACATAGGTTAAAGGGATATATTGGGGTGAAATATATATACGCATCAAATATTCACATTCCGTCATTTTTAAAATAGTAGAATAATAGTCTTGGGCAGTTATTTTAAATACCTACTAAAATGCAGTTCTAATATGCTGCAAATATATAGCTGATAACATACAATGTTGTATATCCTGTTAAGAACTGCAAGTGCATGTGTAAAATAAGCCTCAAAGATTTGATAAAAACAGATAATTAATAACCATTTCCGAATTTAAAATTTTCTTGTGAGAAGAAAAAGCTCGTTGGAATTTTATATCATCAGGATACACTTTTACCACAATCAACAGTGTTGTAATAGGTAAATATTTAGAAAATTCTAAGTAAACAGGGTATTATAGTTTTCTAACAAGACATGCGCTTAGATTTTAGAACTATCCAAACAATAGGATATAATTTCGCAGATTTTTCATACACACCATGTTACAATATGTCTCTGACGACAGTGATAATTATTACAATATGCCCTCTAAATATCCCAGCAAATTTTCGTAGCCTCGTACAAGTTTAGCGGGAGGTTCCATTGTTTTCGCTTGTTAATTCTGTGACATATAACAATAATGATTCAAAGGTCCCACAAAGGTATCAAAAAGTTACCAAAACTTCTTGATGCTTGAAGAAAATTGAGAGTGCGGTCCTGTAAATTAATATGATGTGAAAAACTAACAAAACATCTGTATGAGGTTAAAAAAGGGGTATCGCTTGTTGACGTAGAATGCATATAAAAAGGTAGGCACAAAAAATTTAGCTTATTGAATTTAATAATATTTTTCATACCTAATTAGAATGGGTAAGTATTACTATTATGATAGCTAGATTTTTTTTTTTTTTCTATTCAAATGCTATTTTTATTGGTTGTAGACACGCTAATTACTATCATAAAAGGGCGGTTGCCACCGTCCCTTCGAGTAAGTTAAAAGTATGCACATAATTATTATGAGTACTATATACAGCTTTTTACAGAACAAACCCATAATGATTTTGGCGGGGGGCACGTCAGCCCCCGACGCCCAACCCCCGGGTCTCATGAGCTTGGGGTCATACCAGGGGTATAGCCTCTGGTATGATCCTGCCCCGGAGGTGGCGGTGTTAGTGTGGGCGTTATATTTGTAAGTCTTATAGTTTGTAAAAATTCATTATCTAACTAATTTGTTTATTACAGAGCCTAAGCAAGTAGAGGTAAATATTTTGTAAGTATTTTATGTACAATAATTAAATGATTTTTTGTTTTTTCAGTATCAACCCAGAATAAAAACATTAAGATTTTATTTTGTTTTATTTATTTATGTATACCCTACCTTTTTTCTTCACACTTTCCTGATCCTAAACTTTCCTGGCAGAAAAGCTACTAGCGTTCTTGTCGCTCTTGTTATGGACAAATATTGTTTATTTTCTATTATTTTAGTTAATAAATAATTTTTGTTCAACCAATAGTAGCAATTACATAGTTTTGTAATTACTTAAAAAGCAACTGTTTTTATTATAAATTCACCAATCATAGTTTATCGAAACAATCAGCAGCTGTAAAAAAACATGAAATATATCTAGGTATATTCGGTGATAGCGTGATACGGTGATATATTCTATGCATTTTACTAGCTCGGATCGCCTATATCGTTTTCAAAAAGTTGTTCATAAAAACATCAAAGCCTCGACTTTTTCGAACGAATACAGTTTAAAACTTTTATCTCTCATAATAGAAAATTTAACATTTTTTAATTCTAGCTTTATTACATCGCTAGGATACACCAAAAAAAACAAATTCTAGTTAAATAACGTATAAACTTTTGCTTATAAATTTATTATATTTATAATATATGTTCTCTTTTGAAAAAAAAAATAAATGTGTACGTCAATGTAACGAAAACGTGAGGCATCATCTGCTGACAGTCCTAGGAAAATGTAACGAAGCTGAGCATAAAATATTGTTATGAAAAACATTAAGTTTTTCTAACATTTGACTGAAAAATCGTGTTGATTTTAGTGATAGACATTGTAAGAGTTTTTCACTATGAAATTGTAGACCTGGCAAGAACACTATATATAATATTTAGGGTATTTATCATCGAGTGCAACTAAGTTGCCATACATTTCTAATTCTTCTAGGAAGATAGTTTTGTAATATTTCAGGGTGTAACAGAATTATCATATTGCCTAAACCAAATGCCCACAAATGCGTGTTGTGTACCATATATTACAGTTACTTTACAAGGTTCTAGAAAATTCTACTTTCGATAGTCATCTAATTATAAAATCTATGGATGTTATTTATTTACCAAAAATATCTAAAATAGGTTACTGTTTAAGAAAAAAAATTAAATGAGTGACGTTATTTTTTAATTCATCTCCTAAATAAAAACATCTAATAAACAAAAAAAAAAAACGATCACAACTTACCTGGTGTACAGTCACATAAACTACGAAATAAAAATTTTATTGTTCACTTCCACTCACGAAAACTGTTAAACAAAAAAAATATTTACAAAGGTCTTGGTATTTATTTATAGATTGTAATATCTAGATATTATTATAAAAACAATGTTCCACAAACGTTGCGGTTTACCGTGTTTT